AAACAGAAAACAAAAACCCCACGGTGATGAGAATATGTCAAAGTGACAGAGAAACAAATTTAAGGAGTTGCCAGTGGCCAAAACAGGCCAACTTAATCAACAAAATAAAGCAGTATGGGAGTATAGCCAAAGTATAAGATACATACCCAAGAATCCATACTAATATAAATAAATGATTGACTAAATAGTGGGTAGAAAAAAACAAATCTCCTATACAGAAGAATTCAAAATGTTTACATAGATACATTTCCTTCAATGAAATATGGTATAATTTCCCACTCCCTAAGGGCAGGGTTTTTTCTTGACTCCCTTCCAAATAGTACAGTATGGGAAGGAGGAAAAGTAGTCATTTTAGGGTGGAAAAAACTGACAAACACTACTTTAGCCAGGTGTTCAAGAATAAGGCTAACATTGATAAGCCATATTGATAGCATGTACTCTTTCTTTTAAAAAGTTTATTCATTTACTTTTTGAGAGAGTCTCAACAGGGTAGACATGCTGTGATTCATTCCCAGTGCCAGCCTGAATCATGGGCATGAGTGCCTGGCATGCTCAGGGAGGTCCTAGGAGGTAAACCCAAGATCTTTCCCATGTGGGTCCAGTTAAGAAATCACTGCACCACCTCCTGGCCTGATAATATGTACTTTTGATGTGATAAGAAAGGTCCTTTACCCCTGTGTTCTTCTTCTTCAAAACCTGTAACTCCTGTCTAATCATGAGGAAAAAAATAAAGACAAATTCTGAATGAGGGGCAGTCTACAAAATAGTTGGCCAGTACTCTTGAATACTACCAAGGCCATCAAAAATAAGATGTCTGAGAAGAAGCCTCAGGTAACATGACTACTAGATGTAATGCAGTATCTTTAATGAGATCCAGAAACAGAGAAAGGCCAGTGGGTGTGAGGAAATCTGAATAAAGTATAGACTTCAGTTAATGTAACAGTATGGCTTCAATAATTGTGACAAATGTACTATACTAATGTAAAGAGAGGAAACAGGGGTGGAACATGTGACAACTTTATTATCTTCGTTTTTCTGTGAATCTATAACTATCTAAAAATTAAACATTTATTTTAAAAAGAGAAAGAACGTGAGAGAATATATTCAAAGTGCACATACTGGCCAGCCCAGTAGCCTAGTGGTTAAGGGAGCTGGATCTCATATGGCCACCCACCGTTCACTTATCAGTTCTGCTGGCTTGGAAACAATGGACATCTGTGATTGGATGCCAAAAACCCTGATAGAATGGAGAAATGGAGGAAAAGGGATTGTGGTGTGACCACATCCCCTTGGAAGGTTCTTTTTCCACCCCTGTCTCTGTCACTGATGAGCTCACATGCTCTCTGGCAATTAAAAAAAAATACACCTGGGACCAGCAGAGGGCATATGGTTATACTGCTGGACTCCCATGTAGTCAATCAATCATGGTTCAAGTCCCAGACCTGGTGGCTTAAAACTCATGGTGGGCCCGTGTGCATGGGTGCCCAAAATCCTGAGAGGAAAATGGATTGCAGAGGGGCCATCCCACCGTGCCTGGGGGGTGATTTCTCGCTTTCTGTGTGTGTGTCTCTCTCTTGCAAGTGCACAAGCCCTATAACAAAAATCTCTCTTAAAAAAAAAATACACATATGTGGTCAAACACTTTTACCTGAAATAGAATTCCTACAAACAAATAATAAAAAGACAACCAAATTTAAAACAGTAACTCAATTTTAGAAACACAGGCATGAAAAAAAATAAACTCCATTTCTCCTATTATACTCTGATAATTCACATCTAACATTGGATGTGTCAATCACTTCTACAGTGGACACCAGCTAGGTGTCTTCTACTCCAATTCAAGTCTGAGACTATCTACTTGGACATAATGTCAGACCCCATAGGTTGAGGGATCAATCCCACAAGACTGTCTCCCACTTCTGATGCCAATGGCAAGCTCCAGGTTGATTTATTATACTTGTGTTTCTAGCTGACTAGCTGTAAATCGGGGTTCCCATGACCCAATCCTAGGGTTCAATTAATTTGCTAGGACTCTCACAGAATGT